TTGGGGGGGGGGGGGGGGGGGGTACTAACAAATGACGGCATGGATACACTAAAAGAATAGATTTAGTCAGAAACAAGTGGTTACTAAGATAGAAAAGCTTACATTAGCTAAAGAGGGCCACTGAACTATATGTAATGGCTACAATTTTACAAGTATCCATATCCTTTATGAGGTAAGAAGTCCCACTCAGAAATAATCAGCTCAGAAATGCATGTACAAACCTACCAAATCGATAATCTTGTAGCTTTAGAACACGCGTTGATCGTATGAAATGGGTCAACAACCCTGTTAAAAGAGCTCCTGCAGTTACAATAGCAGGTCATCGCTTTGAGATGAACTCCAAAGAGGCCGACTATATATCCATATTATCTTCTGATGTGCCCAAGGAAACCTTCTCAAGCTTTACAGGCCAATCTTCTCCAAGTACACTGGGATTCGACTCCATTGCAACTCGAAAATCTAGCATTGTCACTGAAACAAAACTATTATGCTTCAGTAAACAGGGCAGGGGCCCCATCCTGTTTGTGACCTGATGACGAACATTATTGAGAAGCTTGTGTTCAGACCTTGAAGCAGCTAAATCCAGACAAGGCTGCAGTAATCTCTTCATAAACATGTCCAGCCCATTGTTTAACAAGTTGACACAATTTGCTGAGATATTCAAACCCTCGGTCTCCAACATCAGTTCCAACTTCTCCCTTAAAGAACTGGTATCAGGCAGCTCACCAGTGTTATAACAGGTCTCGGCATTCAAGTAAGATGATGAGCCATGCACCTTCCTTAATCCTTTCGTATTAAGAGAGATCCCAAGAGGAGCACTAAGAGGGGTTCTACTGTAGACTCCCGGGCTTTCAGCAAATTGTTCGACCTCTTCACCCTCTTCAACAGAGGTGACTTCAGCAGGAGGCCTGCTACCTAAAGATAACAATTCGGTGGCACTCTGCTGTTCCACAACCTTCGGTGTCGAATCTTCATGTCCCACATTGTGTGTCTTCCCATGAGGCCTGAGGGGGCTTGGGATGACCTTTAATGTGTGATCTCGAAGGATAGAAGATCTCCCCTTCCTCGGAGACTGAGGAAACACATCTCCATATAGCGAATGAAAACTACTTCTTTGATACCCATTCCGAACTTTCAAATTCAACGAAGCTTGAGCTTTTTCATGTTTAGGCGAAGGACTCTTGAAAATACTGGCATTCTTGATAATTGCTCTGAGAAACCCATTATGAAGTGAAATATTCTCTCTCCCCAATAATCCAACACATAGCTTACCAAAATCCGATTTGCTAACCTTGAGGCTTAAATATCTATTCATTAGATTAAAATATTTATCTGCTTTTTGGTGACCCAACCTCCTTTCAATATGAAGTTTCAGCTCCAAAGTACTGATTTGGGGGAAACGCCGATCTCTTGACATGTTGGCTTACAGTTTAAACTCTATTATCTAAAAGGGATACAATTCATTAAACACAAGAAGCGCCACTAAATGCAACCAGCCCATATTCGATTTCTCGTTCCCAAACATTAATTCTTGTCAAACCTCACCCTCAGTGAGCATAGTCAACAATACTTGCAGACAAACACCAGTTGGCAATACACTGCAAAAAAAATAAAAATAACAAAATGCAAATGCAAATCAAACTCACAATAGTAGGCATCGATTCACTTTCTCATAAAATCCCAAATTCGACAATCAAAGACAAACCATTAAGCACATCATCGTGATTCAATAAGCCAAATTTTTTTTTCGATAGGTAATCAAGGATTCAATAAGCTAAATGAGAGCACAATTTAACAAGAAACACAAAAACAACTCCAAGAAGCAAACTTTATCCAATCCGAAGTGAAATTCTAACATTCGACTTAGATCCTTGTGGGGAATTTCAATCGAGAAAAAAAAAAGAAAAAAAAAACCATTAAAGCTGCCAAATGCACATTTTAACCAAAAATAAAAAATCACCTGATTTAGGTAAGCGCCAAATTAACAAATATGCGGCTTGAATTTCATAAAAACCTTTGAATTTTCGTAGCAGCAGTACTGATCGAGCTTCGGGAGGGTTAGATAGAGAAAGAAAGGAGATTATTGGCCCTCGAAAGATTCTTCTCATGTCGTAACAGAGTCAAAAGACAAGCGTGTCCTTTTACAAGTGACGAAGAACAATTTAGCCTGACATCATTATTTTCAGTTTTTTTTT